TCGTAATCTTTATGTAAATTTGAATTGCTATAGAATTAAGCGACAAAAAAGAGCCAGAGGGCCTTATATAAAGTTTGTGTGGCCAATCCTGGAGGAGGGATCGCCTTTGGGGATGTAAAATTTTTGAAATTGACCGGACGCCCCGGACCGTTTTCATTTTCTTCGAAGTTCCTGTCTCCTCCTATGCTACGTCTTAAAGGATGCCCATGTATCTTGCGATAGCGCCTATTTCCAATTTCACTTGCATAGAAATTAGCCATCGCCTTGATCGCATTTGGAGGCAAGCGTCAGTTTTCACTAAAAGTGCACGCTCTGGATTTGACAGAGTATTTAGGCTTTGCGCCAATACGAACCTTTTTTCAAGACTCGGAAGCTGTCGATTTTCCTACAAGAGAGGTCTTTCAGGACATGGAGCGCTTTTCGAAATGGTTTCTGCATGTTGTAGAGGCTCATGCGAGGAACACAGAACCATGATCCATTTTTCCTGAACGCCTCCAGGAATGTCAAAACAGTGGTGAAGAAATGGTCCAGAGTTCGATCCCCGGTGATGACTAATTTTTGCAATATAGTTTGGCGCCCCCAGATTGCCGCCAAATGGCGCCATCGTCGAGAATAGATGTCATTGTCGTGTTTTGGAGGCGCCAACATAAATTGCAAAAATTTGTCATCACGGAGGATCGAACTTTGGACCATTTCTTCCCGCTGTTTTGACATTCCTGGGGGCGTTCAGGAAAAATGGACCATGGTTCTGTGTTCCTCACATGAGCCTCTACAACATTCAGAAAACCATTTTGAAAAAAAAAACGCTCCATGTCCTGAAAGACCCCCTTGTTAGTTCTTGGCTAATCAGAGCCAAAGAAGCTGTCATAGCTTTGAGTGTGAGCTGTCAAAACCACCACTTTTACCTTGATTTTGTTGCAGTTTTCAAGCTCGAATGTCACCTGATATACAGAATGAGCTTCTACTTCACTAACAGAATTACTTCGTTAGTTGGCAACAGACCTGTCACGAGAAATAAGGATCAAAAGAGACCCTTTAGTAAGTATGTATGACAGTAGATTGAAGCTTCTCCACCTATTCTTGTGGATGTCGAATACATGGCGAATCCTGCTATGGCCGATGTCAGACTTTGCGAATCGCGCGATTCGCTAGCGTCCGCGGTCGCGTTGCGGTACCAGCCAATTGAGTGATTCACTGGCCGCGACGCGACCGCAGACGCTAGCGAATTCGTATCGAATACGGACAGTACTTGTTTTTGTTGTGCTATCACGAAGGAATAGCGTCATGTTCGAGATTCTGTGATGTGTGTACCTACTACCTGAGGAATGACGCTGTAGAGATTGTTATGAGACCGGGGAGGAGGAGGCAGGGCTCCCAAAATGAATTTATTTTGGGCAAGGTGGCGATTCGTGTGCTTGTTTGGGCGCTGGTGACCCTGGCGAAAACGTTGTGAGATCCATGGGACTCTGGAGCGGAACCTTGAGGAAGCCGTGCCCTCGTTTGCTGAGAAAGCCGACTGTGGGTGGGGCTCTCAGTCTTCAAAAGCATCGGGGACGATAATGGAGGTGGTGTGCTTCAGATGGATTGAAATGGACGTAGTAGAAGCAGTGGCAAGCTTTGCCGCAAATCACGTTTAAGTGGTTTGAGTTTGGTCAGATAAGCTAAGTGCTTCATCCCTTTGATTACAACAAACTGAATCTCTGGTCGTGGAGAACTGAGCCAACGACCTATGCACCGGTTGACTCAAAC